CCTCAAGCTGGAGGGTATAGAATGTTAAGCAATCCAAGATTGTCGAGTAGATGCACATGTTGAGCAATTCCTAAGCCTTTGGTTAGAAAATCAGCATGTTGATCCTTTGTGTTCACATGTATTGCTTGAGCTACCCTTTCTTTGATCTTGCCTCTAATGAAATAACAATCGATTTCTATGTATTTTGTTCGTTTATGTAATATGGGATTTGCTGCAATCTGAATAGTAGACTTACTATCACTAAGGATTGTCAATGGATGTGTAATCTTTTCCCCCAACTCTTTAAACAAACCAAGTAACCATATGATCTCAGCAGTTGCAACAACCATGCTTCTGTACTCAGCTTCAGTTGAGCTCCTTGACACAATTTGTTGTTTCTTTGATTTTCAAGATACCAAGGAACTCCTAACTTTATCACATAACCAGTAGCTGAATTTCTTGTGTTGGGACATGCTGCTCAGTCTGAATCACACCAACATGTTAACTCCCATGTGTGATCAGAAGCCATTAAGATTCCTTGTCCTGGTGCACCTTTTAAGTACTTTACAACTCTAACTGTAACATCCCAATGAGATTTCTTGGGCCTTTGCATGAACTGACTTAAGTTTTGCACAACATAATTGATGTCAGGTCTTATAATGGTGACATACAGTAGCTTTCCAACTAGCCTATGATAGGCACTGATGTCCTACAATAGGAAATCATCCTTGACTCTATTTGCCTGATCATATTCCATTGAACTGAATTTTGCATTATCTTCCTAGGGTGTGCAAGCAGGCTTAGCCCTACTTAACCCCATCTTTGAGATGAGCTGCAGTACATACTTCCTCTGGTTCAACAAAATGCCAGCCTTGGATTTTAGTACTTCAATTTCCAGGAAGTACGTAAGTTCTCCTAAGTCCTTGACTTTGAATTTTTGGTGTAGGATGTCCTTAGCCTGTTTAATCAAGCTTGCACTGCTTCCTATGATAAGAAAATTATCCATATAGACTAGGATAATCACTACCTCTTCCTGGCTCTTCAGAGGGAATAGGGAATAGTCATTATTGTTTTGAACAAAACTTGCACTTATGAGTGCTTCTGTTAGCTTGATTTTTGCACTGTCTTGAGGCTTGTTTAAGCCCATATAAGGACTTCATTAACTTGTAAACTTTCCAGTCACCTTGTTGTCTAAATCCCTCAAGCAATTCCATATAAAATTTCTCATACAAATCACCTTGCAAGAAGACATTGTATACATCTATTTGGAACAAGTTCCACCCTTTTGAAGCAGCAAGTGCTATGATTGACCTCACAGTGACCATCTTTGCCACTGGAGAGAAAGTGTCATGATAGTCCAATCCTTCTCTTTGACTATACACCTTGTTGATACCCAATTTTTCTCTCATATATTTTAAATATGCATATATACCTTCAAATAGTGCACGAGCATCACCAAGTATTTTTTCATAATTTTCTATAATTTTTAAAGGCTTCTAATCAATTTATTCCTGCATTTTTATATAAATAATTATTAATTACATCATAAATAATTTTATAATAATTTATTATCTATTTTTCATCATTTATATATATATTAAGCTTTAATCATTTTTATGTATAATTATATTTGCATCTTTAGGCTAAAATTGTAATATTTTGCAATAATAACACATATATTCATACAGGAAAAATGACTTTTTATATTTTTATTATGTTAAGTAATCATTTTAAATTATTTTCATGCATAAATAATATTTTTATTATTTATTAATTATTTTTATAAATTATTTTACTGATTTAATTGGGTATTTAAAATCTAGCCTTTTTCCTAATTAATTTCGGACCTAGCCCACTACCCATTACCCCAGCCCAATAACCTAACCCAATATCCCCATATCCAATACACGTACCTGTTCAAACTTAGAGCCATACCCATTTAATACCCTGACCCAATTCCCTCTTTAAATCCCACCCGTTGATTTCAGAAGATCAACGGCTTCCAACACTCCAACCCCTTTTAAATATACCAACCCCCTCTAACCCTAACCCATTTTTCGCCTACCCGCCACCATCAAATTCTCTCGTCTCCCTCCCCTTTCTCTTCTAAAACCCTAGCGTCGCACTCCTATTTCCCCCTTGATTCCTACCCAAAAATGGGATCATTTGGTGATTCCCTACTTTATATGGCCCCCTTTCTCTACCGGATACTCATTTTTTGTGTTACTTAAGTTGCTTGCCTCGAATGGCAAGTAGATTATGTGGAGATTGAACCAAGGCTGGTTCAAACCTCCAACTTAATAATGTTTCCATCTATGTTCATCAGCTTTCCTATGTGAGTACGAATATTTTTATCTTCCACTGATTCGTACCTAACCTAAAGTTAGGGTTTTCAGATCTTTGATTCAAACCAGATTTGTGTTTCAACTTTAGTTTGTTTTAATATTATTTTCGTCTATATTTACTTTGTTACTCATAAATCTGCCTATTTTCCGTTAAATCTTTTACTTACCTAAACTAGGATTTTAACCTTCTTTAATCGAACCAGATTTGGTTCAAATCTTATGTTTTCCTTAATTTCTATCTATGTTCTTTATTAAAACAAATGATCATTTGCCTTTATTGCTCTATCAATTTGTGTTTACTTAAAATTAGGGTTTTTCATATCTTAGTTGATTCTGTTATCTTTTAAAACTCGTGTCTAGGTTCATTATGTGATATTGTGCTGATTTTATGGTTTGTCTTTGAATATTTTCTTGTCTACCTTATTTTACTCCGCTGATTTTATGATTTACTCCAAAATTAGGGGTTTGAAATCTTTTACTGAGATTTTAATCTTTCCTTTCTTGTATAGTACTGATGTTTCCTTATTTTGCTCGATCTACCCTGTTCTCATTATTTCCTTACCTTAGTTGATCCGGCATTTGACTGTTGATTGATTATGTATAATACCTACCTTATCTAAGTAGTACTTGCCTGATTACACACTATTATGTCCTGCTAATTGATTGAACTCGACTTCAAATTGATTCTATAATTATTTTCATTCCTTATTTGTGTATGTTTGATTTATTCCCTTATTTGTCTGCCTAATTGAACACTATTTAAACCCTTTCCCCTCTTCCCTTTAGGACAAACTCGAACTCTCATACTCTCACTAAAACTTGGTTCTTTCACTCTGATTTTGTGCTCATTGTTTTTGATTTTGGCCAGCTGAAAGCCAAGGCCAAGTTATTCTGGAACTTAACTGCTGTGGTATATTTACTTGCTTTCTTACTTAACTAGTATGCCATAATCCTTTGTAATTTCATTCTCTATGCTTTGTTCGACTAGCATGTTTCAATTCCAAGTATGATTCTGTCATTTTTTATATGATTCTATGATCTCATCTAGTTCTATGAGTGACACTATTAACTTAGGATTAAGTTATTTTGAATAATACAAATCTTCTTATAAGTTAGCCTAATGTCTAAATTTGTTTCATGCACTATCTGTTAATCTTACATTTGTTCGGAACATAGTATACCTATAATACTATTAGCATGAAATTGGTTCATTAATCCTAACTCTATAGATTTTCGTATGGTTACTTAATTCATGTGCCTGGCCAACTTAACTGTTTTGCCTAAATTTCTTCTGTGATTGTCCTAGGTACTAGCATGAATATCTAGCTTAACCAGACTTTTAACTTACTTGAACTATGTGTTTGAGTATAACCATGTTTGGTGCAGTTCTGCCTGTGAGCATGCGATTTTTTCCCTATTAGAATTACTCTTACAAAATTAAAGAAATAGATTTTTTCCAAATTATTTTTAATTTTATAGGATTTTATTAATTATTTGCATTTTTGTGCACGCTTAATTTTTTTAAAATCATGAAAAATGCCCAAAAAATGTCAAAAGTTTCATGCATTGCATATTAGGTTTTGTGTTCATATTTTAGAATTAGTTAGTTAATTAATTGCTTTATTAAAATAAAAATCACAAAAATATTGTTTATTTTTACATTTTATATGGCCCAAATATCCCAATCCAACCACGCCCATGTCCAGCCCAATTTCCTATACTCGGTCCGGTTCCCCCCACTACCAAAATGACGTCGTTTTGCGCCATTCAATACGGCTCACAACTTCTCACCCTTTTCCTTTTTAACTGTCTGAATACCCCCCCCCCCCCAACC